GATGGCCAAGAGACATATGAAAAAATGCTCAAAGTCACTAATCATCAAAGAGATGCAAATTAAAACCACAGTGAAGTATCACTTCACACCTGTAAGAATGGCTGCCATCAACAAATCAACAAACGACATGTGCTGGCGAGGGTGTGGAGAAAGGGGAACCCTAGTATACTGCTGGGTGGGGATGCAGACTGGTGCAGCCACTATGGAAAACAGTATGGAGGCTCCTCAAAAAATTAAAAATGGAGCTGCCTTTTGACCCAGTGATCCCACTTCTAGGAATATATATCCTAAGAATCTTGAAACACTAATCAGAAAGAATATATGTACCCCTATGTTCATAGCAGTGCAATTTACAATAGCTAAGATCTGGAAACAGCCCAAGTTCCCATCAGTACATGAGTGGATAAAAAAGCTGTGGGACATTTACACCATGGAATATTATGCAGCTGTAAAGAGGAAGGATCTCATACCATTTGGGACAGTATGGAAGGACCTGGAGAATATTATGCTAAGTGAAATAAGCCAGGCAGAGAAAGACAAACATCACATGATCTCACTTATATGTGGAATTTAAAGAACTTAATAAACTGATGAACAGAAATGATTCAATGACATGGAAGCATGGATCAGACTGACAAATCTCAGAGGGATGGAGGAGGGTCGGTGGGTGGAGGGGGAGACATTAACCAAAGAACTTATATGTATATATGCACAAACCAAGGACACAGACAATGGTGTGGAGAGGGACTGGGGAGGTGGGTGGAATGGGAAGGAATGGGTCACTGGGGAGAAAAAGGGTCATCGGTAATATTTTGAACAAAAATTTTAAAAAATTAAAAAGCAAACAAAAACACACACAAACAGAGCTCACAGACACAGGAGAACAAGCAAGAGGTGAGAGGTTGGCTAAAATGGTGAAGGTCAAAAGGTACAAACTTTCAGACTATAGCTAACAATACTGTATTGAATATTTGAAAGTTGTTAAGTTCTCATCACAAGAAAACAAGTTTGTAACTGTGGTAATGGATGTTAACTAAACTTATTAGAATAACCACTTTGTAATATACAGGGGCAGGCAAAAGTAGGTTTACAGTTTTTCCTATGGAAAATAAATTCAAGAATAAATTGTGTTTTGTATACTCACAACTGAAAACCTACTTTTGCCTATCCCTGTATACATAGACCAAATCATTATATTATACACCCAAAACTAATACAATGTTTTATGGCAATTATATCTGCAAAAAATAAATGCTCCTATCCAAAAAGCAGATAAAACAACTGAAAATGTCAGCATCCTCCAAATTCCTGTTCTACCACCAAGTAAGGTCCAGATTCATTGGAGAAAAAAGCATCCATTTTCTTTTCTTAAAAAGCCTGTTAGAGGCTTTTTAACTTCCCTGTGACTCAGCCTCCATCCTACCTGCCTTTCTATTCAATACTTTTATGATCTGATAACTTACTAATTGACTCCTATCTCTGAGTTCCCATTGTGCTGGAGATGCGTTCAATAAACTGCTAAATTGTTATTCCACAAACTTCATTGTACACAATGTCCTATAATCTTAGCACCTCTTCTGCTCATGACAATTTAATGTCATATTCATAAATATGAACTACCCTCTAACACAAGACGCCCCAGACTGATTTTTCCAGTGTCCACTTCCCATGACCCCAGTGGGCCCCAGAGTAATTCTAAAATTTGGGTTTATTGCCTTAGCTTTCTTTCTCTCTCTTGAGAGAGTTCACGGAAAAAACAAATTAAAAAAACTACAACACAAAAAAACCCCTCTTCCTGCTATGCAAACTGCTTTCTATTCCTTTTCTATTCCCAAGCTCCAGTTCTCTTTATATAGGAGGTATTTCCAACAGGAAGGTCTCAAATATATTTTGGAATTTAAAAATATGGTGCTTGAGGAAACTGTATATGGAATATTTTAGCAGTCTTCAGAGAGGTGGTGATTGGAGAAGGATTACCATATCTTGTAAACATTTCCCAGTTACCTGATTCCTGTTTGATTTGAATGGTAGGCTTGATGCCAGGTGGTAAAGGAGACTGCTGAGGCTGTTGCTGATGAGATACTGAAGGAGGCTGGGCCACCTGTTGTTGTGTCTGTTGTTGCACTTGATGTAACTGTTGCTTAGGAGACTGTTGATGCTGTTTAGGAAACTGTGCAAGAATCTGCGTTGGGGTACCCACTAAGCTTTTGGGGGAAGGAAGTCTGGTTGATGCCATTTTGATTGCTGATGTAGATACACCTGTAAAAGAGTCAGGGAAAAGAAAATTCAATAGTAAAGCATAATTAAGGTTAATTCCGATTACTGTAGTAGATAATACAGACTAGGTAAATCAATAAAAGCAATAATTTATAAAGCACCAGTAAGTGTTAGATATAATGTGTGAAATTTTACATATTGGATATCTAATCCCCAAACTCTGCAAGGGAGGCATTGTTCTCGCACTCAAAAAAACTGATTTTCTCTTGGTGAAGAGTTTACACAAAAGGAACAAAGTATCAAGCAGGATATTCTTACACATGTCTCTCAATAGATGTTCATGACATCTATTAGAAAATGTAGGTTCTCAATGTAATATAAGAACAAAGCAAACTAAATTTTAAATCTTATTTCTAATACATTTTTTCAAAAATTGCTTTTCAGGTTCTGTGAGCCAATTTAAACATGGTATGAAATAAAATAACTGCGCTGGCCAGTGTAGCTCAGTTGGCTGGGTTGGCTGGGTGTTGTCCCATGCACTAAAAGGTTGCTGGTTCAATTCGTGGTCAGGGCACATGTGCAGGTTGTGGGCTTGATCCCCTAGTGGGGCATGTGCAGGAGGCAGCCGATTGATGTTCTGCACTCACATGGATGTTTCTTTTTCTCTCTCCCTCTCCCTTCCTTTCTCTCTAAAAATCAATACAAATATTTTTTAATAAAATATAAAATAAAAAATAGAAATAAATAAAATAATAATCCACAATGAAACACTCATCTTTTGAACTACTTAGCATGGCAAAGTAACTTTTCTTTATGTCATTTCCATTAATCTATAAATTAAAGTCATTTGTTGAGAACTCTAACTAGGTCATTAAATAATTACATAAAAAGTTACAAGTGGGCATACTAAATATATAAATGGCCAAAAAAATTCTAATGATAAAAGGTTGTAAGACATTTTCCAGTGCAATACTAGTATTAGCAAACATGCATAGGTAAGGAGTACCAATAACTTCCAGAAAAGATCTGTGAGTTTAAGAGAAATTCTTCCCTCTCCCAGATTTTTCATCAGTAATTTCATAATTCATCAATAACACAATAGGACTACGATTTGTAAATGAATTAATATTCCTAACAGGAAGAACCTAGAATATAACTCACCATATTAACTTTTTTGAATACTGTTGAAACAATGAAAAGAAACTGATAAATTAATAGCCTAATTATGAAGTACTTAGGTTATTTCATACCTTTCTCCACCACACCCTCACCAGGTCATTAGAGAAAATTTTAAAAATAGTATTACATCCTCATGTAAAATTTTTCTGGAGAATGATAAAGATGGAGAAGATGGAGAGTCACTCTGACTCTCGGCCTCAGCTTCCCCACTTGTTGAATTTTCCTTACACTACAAGTCTAAGGGTTGCTGTGTAGATCAGGGAAAATCACAGAATGAGAAATACTTGAAAGGAGACAAAAGGTATAGTCACATTTCTGTCTACAAAGTGGGGGGATTAGTAACATTACTTACACATGCTCCTACCTCACCCACTCTCAAACCCAACTGAACACTAGGTATTTTGGTGACATGTGTGCTATATTGCTTAGTTGTGCTGAACAAGGTTATCTCTGGAGCCCCTTCAGACACCAAAATTTTATGACTCAATAAGCATAAAGTGTTATACAAGTGAAAGTTATTATTTTTAAACTATGTTAAAGCCTTAACCTTTATATTGCATTCCTAATGAATTCTTATATTAAGGTAAATTACACACATGAGTAACTCCCTATGTTCTCCATATACTTTTGTACACAAAAGGCAGTGAGGATGACTTCAGAATCAGAGAATTGTACTCAAATCATGCCTTCAACATGTAAACACATAAATATATAATATCTGTATGATCTGATTAAAGTACTTCATCTCTGAATATTTACTCATTCAATAAAAACTTACTGAGCAGACACTATGCTAGATCGGTGGGAAACTGTTCTGTATCCATGAAATATAACCTTCAGGAAGGTTAGAGAAGAAGATAATCAAATCATCACACAAATTTATCGTTACAAACTATAATAAATGCTATCTTTGTTTTAACAAGTAAAAGATCCTCTTCCTCTTCCCCTTTGCTTCCCAAATAATTCAGCACTAAAGCCATCAAGCAGCATAAAGCAAGATGGACAACTAGGCAGCTAAACAGAAGAGTGGCCAAGCATGGGGGTGTTAGAGCCCAATGCAGAGACTGGCGGAGCGTGGGAGGCGGAGACAAAGTAGGATGAGGAGGGTATCCACGATGGAGCTTAAGGGACAGCATGCATATAGAGTTCGAGCCCAGGCAGGATAAAGAGGAGTTCCATCAGTGTGAGCCCCCTAGCACAGGGTCTCAAAGCTTAAATCTAAGATGTCTCCGGGAAGGAGTGGCTAAGATGGGATGAGTCCAAACCAGGTGAAGAGGACTTCTGGGTGGGAGGGCAACCTGGCACAGGTGTCTGACCTGAGCAGGGTAAAATAGGCATCCATGTAAAAGGGTGATGTAGGGACAGTGTCAGAACTGGAGGGGGG